AAATAGTATTGTTTGGTTTTGTATCTTTTTTGGGGGGTTTTATGCCACGGACCCGTCTTGTGGTATGATGTGTGGATTTTCAAAATAAAACTCCTTTCAGACCGGCACGGTTCAGCGCTTATTTTGACAAGGGCCCAATTGGAACACTGTCTTGCTACCTGTGAGGGTAAACGTGCGCGTGCGTATTTTTGGAAAGCCTGAACAAGTGGCGCTAAGACCCCTCCGCCGAACTGATGTGAGAGGGGTGGCTGGGGAGACGTTGCTGTTTTGGTTCGCAAAGGGATGCAAATGTGCAGAAAGGCTCCGCCTACTCAATTTGGTCGTGTCAGTGGAGCAGGAGAGCGCAAAGGGTTTTGAGGGATCCGGATCATGGGCGTGAGGGTTTTGCGCTTTTTCGCCGACCTTTGCTTTCGGGATTCTTGCCGGTAACGATCTGATGCGCACGTCGACCGGGAACGTGTGTCGCGAGGTGTCCTCCCATCAACTTTGCCCTCCCCCGCTACTTCCGCGGCCGCGTCCAACTGGCGCGGCGAATCCGTGCGGCGGTCGCCACGGAAACAGGCACCGCAGTACATCGGCTGGCTTGTTGGGCGGCCCTTCCGTCCTCCCTCCCCGGCGGAAAACAACAACGCCACACAAAGCACGCCGTAATGTTTTTGTGCTTGAACAGCTCATAGTGTTTTTGCACACGTGAACGGAGCCCAACGGAAGCCGGCTGTCACACTTTGTGCCTTTTCCAGGGCCTAACAGCGTGTTTATGTTCCCCAACTCACTGTGAAAGAATGTCAAGATGTCATTATCGTGTGAGGCGACCCTGACATAAGTCATCACCTTACGTCAGGTGACCCCGACAGTGTTGCGGTCCCATACACGCAAGGTGACCCTAAACACGTTCCTCTACTTCAGGGGTGTCAAAGTCAAATGGACGGAGTGCCAAATAAAAAAAATTGCTGAAAAATTTAACAATTACAGTGAAACTCCTCTAGAACGAAACCTACATGGGCGAAAATAGCCCCTTATGTGAAAAAATCTAAATGCATTAACACAATTCCCATTCTACTGCCCCCCCCCCAATACGACGAAAAACCCCATGTTGCGTTATACGAAATCATTTTCTCTGCTCCAGCCTCAGAAGACATTCACTACGAAGAAGTCTTATCCAACAGCGACCTCTACTGCTTCGTTCGAATAAAGGCAACAGCAACCACCACACTGGTTTACATAGTGAACGATGTTTATTTCGGTCACAGCTGTGAGTTTCCTGGACTCAACATACTCATAGCTGCTCTGCCATTGGCTTACTGAGCATCATCCTGGCCTCCGATTGGCCAAGAGGGACCTCACTGTCTATGTGTGTAGATAGATACTGAAGCTAGATCCGTAGCATCCGATTAGCTGCTCAGAGTAAATTGCTTATGGCTCGACGGACATTAAAATAAACGAACGTTTCCTCGAATGCTTTACTTGTTATCATGCTAAAAACATCCACGGGATGCTTTGTAGTCCTCGATGCTAACTAGCATAAGGTTTTTCGCCTTTGAGAGCTAACTATGGCCATCAAGGACTACGAAGCGTCCCGTGGCTGGCTTAAAAGTTCATTGCATGCCAGGAAGTATTTGTTATTGTTCGATTCAGACGAGGATGGACGTTGCATTGCTAAAATGGCTACAAAACGGACCTTTTGATGTCAAGCAGCTAAGACAAGAAGAGCTCTGATGCTGGAAGAGAGGGTAAAAGTGATCCAAATTAAAGACGGAGCAAGCAAAGTAAAAGACATTATTCAAGAAATTTATGTAAGTGAAAGTGAATGCTGATCGTAAATTTCGCAATTTCTTTCCTTTTTCTTTCGACACTGAAAATATGAAGTGTCAAATAAGTTGTGCTCTTATGCACTATTGGAATAAAAATAGAGTACGTTTGTGTGTGTGTGTGTGTGTGTGTGTGTGTGTGTGTGTGTGTGTGTGTGTGTGTGTGTGAGTGTGCTTACATCTGAGATCAAATTTGCTACACTGAAAAACTCCCTGTTGTGAAAAATTTCTTGCTGCAAACAGTTTATCTGAGTAACACACCGGAGTTATTTTAGCATATTCATGCGGCGCGCTGGACTTGCGGCGAGCAAGTTTCTTTGTGGTTGGTATCTTGTGTGTCTTCCAAGGTTCGCATGCAATGGGTTGTCTTCGAGAGTCTTCCGGCTTCTTTGCACGATCCAAACGCGCGCATGGAACATGCAAAATTGTCCGTAGCTGCGAAGGATAAGGGGGAGTACTCGTTTGTCAAAATGTCCCCCGCCCAAGGCACCATCAATTGTCCATATTTTCTCTTTTGCAAAAGTAGGCGAAATTTACTTCCAAGACAAACAAATAATAGCAATTTTCGATCATTCACTCAACTAAGATATTTTTAAAACATAATTGGATTGAAATACACTAAAAAAAAGTGCAAACATTTATCAACTATAAACAACACTTTCTTCAAGGAGAAGTAACATGCAGTTAAAGCAAATATACTTTAATTTTTAAACTTGAACTGAATAAAACTCTTAATATGTGATTGCACAGTAATCCTGTATTCACCTCTTTGAGGCTGAGGCTGATACTGGTGGTGTGTCATCTTTTCTACAAGGTCATCAATATTTGGGATCAGGCTCTGAGCTGAGCAAATCCTCCAAATTGAGTGAAGGTGTTCAGCAGTAAGTCGGCCTCTGTGTGATGTTTTGTTCAGCTTCATCAAAAAAAAAAAAAAATAGTTGTTCACACAGGTATGTGCTGCCAAACATCGACAACGTTCGAGCAGCCTGGGTGCGCAGCTGGGCCATTGTGTCGGGGAGGAAACGGGCAAACTGCGCAGCACCCACTGCCGTATCTTTTTTATGCACTATAGTTGTGTCATGCATCGGATGTAAAGCCAAAAACTTCTCTGTCACACTTCGGCTGGAGTCCACTCCGCGGATGAAAATTGACAACAGGGCATCGTCAGAAACTTCAGCGTTCTCATCCACAGCCAAGGAATATGTGATGACATCTTTTCCGTTTTTCACAAGCTGCTCTTTTTGATAAATAGACAACTGCTCTACTCGATAGGCAATGGTGTTTCTACAAATGCTCACGTTTAAAAAGAGTTGCTTTTTTTTCGCGGCAAACTTCTCACAAATTTTAAGCATGCAGTTTTTCATGAAACCCCCCTCCGTAAGTGGCCGGGCTGATTTAGCAATCTCTTCTGCCGCAATAAAATTGGCCGTGACACCAGCCTGGCTTTGTGATTTGGCTTTTTTGAACAGAGCCTGTTGAGATTTGAGGCTTCGTTTTAATTCCTCAACCTTCTGTAGCCTTTGTTCCATGTGCATATTCTTGTTTTTGTTTGCGTGTTTCGTTTCATGATGTCATCTCAGATTACACTCTTTCAATACCGCCACACTTTCTCCGCACAGAAGCCACACAGGTTTTCCAGCTACGTCCATGAACATGTACTCCGACTCCCAACTTGTTTGAAACCCCCGGTTCTCAGTGTCCACCTTCCATTTTGCCATTTTTGATGGGTATCTAAAAGCTAACGTCACTGTTATGCGAACGACTGCTGCACTAATATTGAAAAAAAGCGACCAACTGCTTGGCACGTCACCGTTGCATTGTGGGAAATGTAGTATTGGTGCGTGTAAAAGATCTGCAGGCTCCCGGCTTGCTGCGGTCCGCAGGCCGGTTCTAATAATAAATCAATATCATCCCAGGGGGCACTGAAAACATTCTCGCAGGACGGATCTGGCCCGCGGGCCTGCACTTTTCGCTTCATTGTGTGTGTGTGTGTGTGTGTGTGTGTGTGTGTGTGTGTGTGTGTGTGCGCGCGCGCGTGCACTTGACATAAAGTTATTTTATATTGCTTTGCCATATATTTAGTCATTTTTTCCACTGTTTTTTCTATCAATTGTTTTATTGTTTATAGTTCTCTGGATGATGTTTGCTCCATGCCCAGTGTTGGGA